GTGTGCACGAGGGTGGCCCTTCTCAGTGTGTGTGGGAGCCCAGGGGACAGTTTGCAGGAGTCTCTTCTTCACCGTGCAGGATGCCAGGCCTGGCAGTAAGTGCCTTTACCTCCTGAACTGTCTCAGCCCCCAACTTTTACTGTTTATTTACTTGGTAACTTTAAAATTTTATTATTTAATTACATTATGTGTGTGTGAGTATGGAGACCAGAGAGTGACAGTTTCTCTGGAACTGGAGCTACAGGTGATTGAGAGACATCTGAGAGAGCAGCCGGTGTGCTTAGCCACTCAGCCACTCTCCAGTCCTCCAACTGTGTTTCATTTAATTTTCTTCCTTTCTCTCTTTCCGTTTTCCCTTTCCCTTTCTTCCTCCATCCTTCCCTCCCTCTTTCTTTCCTTCCTTCTTTTGTTCTTTTTCCTCCTTCCTTCCTTCCTTCCTTCCTTCCTTCCTTCCTTCCTTTCTTTCTTTCTTTCTTTCTTTCTTTCTTTCTAAGACAGGGTCTTGAACTCGCAGAGGTCCATCTGCATCTGTCTCTTGGGTGCTGGGATTAAAGGTATGTGCTATGCTTGGCAGTTTTAAAACCTTTAAAATTTGACTTTTGCTATTTTTTGAGGCAGAGTCTGGTTGTGAGCCCAGGCTGGCTTCAAACTCATGCATCCCCTGCCTCAGCGCTTGAGATCGGGGATGACAGGCACACATCATCCTGAGCTACACCCTGGTCCTCTCACCGTCCTCTTCTGTTGCTGTAACAGAATTCTGGGGCCCAGTACAATTGACTTAAAGAGAAAAGGCAGTTCTGCGCTGGCAAGAGGGCTCAGTGGGTAAGGTGGTTGCTGCCAAGCTTTACTCTGATGGCAGGAACCACCTTCTGTAGGTCGTGCTCTGATCTCCACCGCACCAATAAACAAATGAGCCGGGTGTTGGTGGCGCACACCTTTAATCCCAGCAGTCGGGAGGCAGAGGCAGGCGGATCTCTGTGAGTTCCAGGCCAGTCAGGTCTACAGGACAGCCAGAACTGTTACACAGAGAAACTCTGTCTTGAAAAAACAAACAAACAAACAAACAAACAAAAACCAAAAACCAAAACCAAAACAAACCCAAAGGAAAGAAAAATGAAAATGTAATAAAAATAATTTTCACAGCAGCTTGTCTTTTACTTACTCCGCTAAGACATCTGTCCCCAATATCTGCCTGATTGCCTGTCTCCTCAAGCCTCTGTGTGATCTTGTGATTATTATGGGTTAGACCACAACAGTAACATCAGATTCCAAGGGGGTGGGGCTATGGATGGACGGACAGCTCATGTTCTTCTAGAAAATGGCGAGTGTGCTGTTGGGGACACAGGGTCTTTGATCTGTATTCTTGAGTTCTCCTGGGAAAGGTGGAGAGATTCCCGGGCATCACTCCGTGCCAGGGCCTGACCCTGGGAGAAGCCAGTGGCCGGCTGTTGGGCCATCTGCGTCCATCCTGTTGTCTGAGGCTCTAGCCTTACAGTTATCCTCCCTTGGCTTTAAGCCCTGGATCTTGGGGCTCCGGGAGTCCTCACTGTCCACCTGCCAGGCTCTGCCTGTACCCTGGGTCTCCAGGGATGACAAGTTGGATTGATGTGGCCAAGGGTCCTACTCCCTGTGGCAAGGTGCAGAGTGCAGCCTTCTCCTGTCTTCCTGACACTGGGCCCACCCTGCCTCGTCTCTCCTGGATGACATCCCCATAATGCCCTGGGCCAGTCTCTGTGTCCCCACCATGCCCTGGGCCAGTCTCTGTGTCTCCCTGCCGTGCCCACCCCTCCTGCTCCTGCTGACTTGGGGGCAGGTGCTGGGTGCCTGGGCTCTTTGTCATATTACACCGGAGGGCGTTGGCAAGCCTGTGTGGCCTGTCCCTGGTCATCTGTGTTGATCGTCCTGTTGGGGAGTGGGTGCTGGGAAGGAGATCTGCAGAGGAGTTCCCAGTATCACCCCCTTGAGCCCTTTGGCTGGGATCTGTGTGACCACTTCAACCAGGGCTCTATCCCAAGGATGCCGGGGACAGACAGCCTCTCCTGATGCACCCAAAGCTCACTGTGGGGTGCAGAGTCTGTCTCCAGCCACTCAGGGAACCTCTCTCTGTGGTTGCCATCTTAGGGACTTTAGCTAGGGAGGAGTTTCGAGTCAGGGAGTTGTGGGCTCCTGGACTCTTGTCATGACTGGCTGCTACCTGCTGAGGCGGTGACTTTCTGTTTGGCCCCTTGGTCTCTCCGGTGACTGGCCTGGACTGAGCAGATGTGAGCACCCTAATGGATAGAGTCAGGGTCTCCATGCTGTGCTGGAGTCGCAAATGCAGACATTCTGGGAAGATTTCTCTCTGGGGGACGCTAGGCAATGTTTGCCCCTCACAGTTAGACCAAGCAACAAACCAGAGTCCCCCCTAGGGAACCAATGGCTTACTTTTTAATTTTTGTTGATTTTATAATTGTATTACCACTATGTATTACTTACATATAGGTGTTTTGCCTGAATGTATGTCTGTGTGTGGGGCATCAGATCTGGAACTGAGGTTTCAGGTGGTTGTGAACTACTGTGGGGGTGTTGGGAATCGGACAGGGATCCTCTGCAGAATGGCTAGTTCTCTTAACCACTGAGCCATCTCTCCACCTGACTGGACCCTCCTCCATTGATCACTACCTGAGAAAATGCACTACAGCTGGGTCTCATGGAGGCCTTTCCTCAATTGGTGCCTCTAGCTTACGTCAAGTTGGCATGAAACTAGCCAGCGCAAATGGTGAGCTCTCTGGCCTTTGTCTTGTTGAATGGTGAAGACTTTATGTTCTGGGTGCTGATCTTAGACCTGTGGCTCTTGGATATTCCCAGACTGTCTCTCCCTTTCATCATGGCGGCCTTTGAGTTTAGAGCCAGCCCAGTGTGTGTTCTCTTACATCTTGTCTGAAAGTTACCTGCTTCAAAGCCATACATATCTGCATTCTAAAAATTTGATGTATAGCCGGGCAGTGATGGTGCAACACCTTTATTCCCAGCACTTAGGAGGCAGAATCAGGTGGATCTCTGTGAGTTTGAGGACAGCTTGGTCTACAGAGTGAGTTCCAGGACAGTCAGGGCTACACAGAGATACCTTGTCTCGAACAAAAAAAAAAAAGAAAAGGAGGAGGAGAAGGAAGAGGAGGAGGAGGAGGAGGAGGAGGAGGAGGAGGAGGAGGAGGAGGAGGAGGAGGAGGAGGAGGAGGAGGAGGAGGAGGAGGAGGAGGAGGAGGAGGAGGAGGAGGAGGAGGAGGAGGAGGAGGAGGAGGAGGAGAAGAAGAAGAAGAAGAAGAAGAAGAAGAAGAAGAAGAAGAAGAAGAGGAAAACAATTTGATGTTTGATTTTAAAATTTGGTCTGAACCCATTTAGAATAAACTGTGTATGGTGTGAGGTCAAGGTCCAATTCATGCTTTTCCACATAGACTGCAGGATCTTTTCTTGAACAAAACCCACTCCCTCCCTGTTACTGGGTCTAGTCTTAGCACAGACCTTCCACATGGGTCTGTTCAGGTACATCAACTCTGGTAGCTCTCGAGTGCCCTTGACCAGGACTAGCCATGCTGGGACTGGAACCCAGGGCACCCCAAGTTACCCCCCAGCCTTATTTGTTCAATGCTTGTAGCTTTGCCACCTTGAGCCATCTGGTCCTGTCTGCTCAGGCTGAATGACCTCCCACCTTGTTCAGAGAGCCCCAGACTAGCTGGGGAGGGTAGAGCCTTCCCTGGGGTCTCAGCCTGGTGCTCATCATAATCTGCTGTGCTGGTGCCCCAGAGTTCCTGTCTCCACAGCCCCCGCCCCCTCTCCCGCCCCCCAGCATCACGACTAAGTGCTGCTCCTTACCTGGCTGCTGGGACTCCAGCTCAAGTTCATGTGCTGCGCAGCAAGGCAAGCACTCTCCCCACTGAGCGATCTTTCCAGCCGCTCTGTTGGTGGCTCTGTTCCTTCAGACGGTTGTGAATTGGTGCTGGGAGCTTGGTACCCAACAGGCCCAGAAGCAGAGTGGGAGGTGAGGGTGTAGGGAAAGTGGTGACGTTGCACTGTGCAGGGGTGAGGACGGGAGCCTGAGGGGCGGTGGGGCAGTCTCCAGACAGCAGAGAAGAAGGGGGTCCTTGCTGATGCTGGACTCGAAGGATTGGCCCAGGGTCTCCTGAAGATGTATGGTGACAGTGGGGTAGGGCATGGTGTGGCCATGGGTGCCGGGAGGAAAGGTGTCAGCTTCACACTGTTAGGGCGAGCTTCCCTTAGGGCCATGGCCATCCAGACTGGACACATAGGCAGTAGTGAAGGGAGCTGGAGCCCAGGACATTGCAATAGGAGGCACAGGTTAGGGGCAGAGGTTGCAGGTTGGTGACCTCAGCTATAGGCTCCCATCACAAGGTCCCAGGAGGCACAGGTGGTGGCCACAGAGGTCACAGGTTGGTAACCTCAACCACAGGGTTCCATCACAAGGTCTCAGTGCCACACTGTAGTGGCACTTCCTATCACCAAGCCCTGATGATCATTTGAGTCCCCCACTAGAAGGTGGCTGACTGGCAGGGACCCATTACCTCCCTCTGGAGGCCTGGGGCTTTGGAAGGAGCCAGGCACTTTCTGTTTTTTAAGACCAAGTGTTAAATAACCTAGGCTGACCTCAGACCTGGTGTGGCTGAGGCTGGTTTCAGATCCCTGCCATCCTTCCTCCTCCTCCCGATGCTGGGGTGATAGGCATGTGCCATCATACTTGACTAAACTTGAAAATCAGTAGCTGTTTGTGGCTTCTGGCTTCTAGAAGCTTCTTTGCTGTCACTTGACTGCTCCGGACTGACTGCACTAGCTCACAGTTGGGCCAGCACAGATCTGGGGACAGCCTGCATGTTGTTGAGAAGTGACAAGGGCTGGGCAGTTGTGCCAGGTCAGTGTCCCTGTCAGAGGTGGCGCTGGAAGGGCGGGCGAGACAGGCAGGGACGGCGCCGTGCCGTTCAGTGTCAGCTTTCGTCTGTATCTTGCAGGACGCTGCTGCCACTGGAGGTGCCGGACAGAAAGTAACCCTGACTGCTTCCTTGAGCCTGGGTCATTTGTCCACCTCAGCCCCTGGAATCTCCTGGAACCCCTAGGTAAGTACAGCAGTGACGCAGGCTTCTCTCAGCACTGCTCTCTGGGTCCTCTTGCACTGAGGTAGGACCTGGAGCTCCTGTGCGTGTTGGTCTCTGGGACACCTTCTGTGGTTCTGTGGGGATGTGGGCCCTGTTCCCTTCATCCGCCCACAGCAAGAAGTTGGGATCAGGGATGGGCTTGGGTCTCCAGCAGTGGGAAGCAACTCTTAAAACACCTTTAAAACAGTGGATGTAAGGTAGGGGTGGTGACACACACTTTTAATCCCAGCACTTGGGAGGCAGAAGTAGGTGGATCTCTGAGTCTGAGGCTAGCCCGGGTTACATAGTGAATTCTGGTATAGCCAGGGCTACATAATAAGCCCCTATCTTGAAAAGAAACAAAAAACACCAAAACAGCACCAAAATTTGTGTGGATACTGAGCTAGAGCGATGGCTCAGTGGCTAAGAGCAGTGGCTGCCCTTCCAGAGAACTGGGCTTCAGTTCCCAGCTCCCATGTCGGGCGCCTGCAGCTGTCTGTAGCTCTAGTTCTCAGAGACCCCTGGCATCTGCAGGCACCTGTACCCATGGGCACACAAAACTGTCTTCTCCTTTGCAGGGCGTCGCTGTTGTTCACATGGATCATAGACATTTCAAAAATCCCTTATAAATGAAAGAGCCTGTTTATGCGGTAGTATGTGTTCACACACACGTGTGTGCATGTGTTTCTGGAGCTGTGGTGAACCCAGGGCCTTGTGCATGTTCGTACATGCTTAGCACAGGCCTCACTCCAGCCTGCTTGTGAAGTGTGAATCATGTTAACCGCGCTGTCTGGTGCTTGCCATGTTTCTGGGTGGCCGTCAGAGTCCCTGCCTAACATGGGCTTTTCTTCTCAATGAAGCCCTTCAATCCTGTCACCCTCTCGTACCTCAGGTCCCTGTGTGCAGGGGCTAGGGACACAATCCAGGACCCGGTGAGCAGAACTTGGGCAGTGCCACTACACCACACTCCAACTTGGACAGGCCTAATACAGGAGCATCTGTAGTGGCCCAGAGCTCCCCAGGAAGGGGCCGGGCTGAGAAAGGCCCGGATGGGGTCATTGAATTGCAGTAACATTGGGGGTTTCAGGTTGGGCTTCATTTTGGCGGTGGAGATGCTGCTGTGAATTGGGTTAATTGCCACCTCTTAGTTCAGGGATGAGTTCCAACAAAGTGGTTTTGCAGGGCCACTGAACTGGGCAGGCCGCTGCAGACTAGAGCTGGTGAGGCCTTTCCTCTTGCTGTTCATAGGGACGCCACAGCTCAGAAGGGCCAGGCTGCAGCGGGGGTGAGGTCCTCGGGTCCATATCTGTCTGGGAAATAAAACTTGGTTAGTTTACAGCTGGAACAATGGAGCCTTGTACAAGAGATTACTATCTGTAGGGCTCAAAATGGCCAGAGCCACTGTCCACACAGGCACTGTGACACTGGTGGGCAGGAGTGATGGACAGGTGGGGACCTGGCTAGAGAGTTGCTCTGTCTTAACCTGAAACACTCAGCTGTGTTCAGGCTCAGCTGTGCCCCCCCCGGCAGCCTTTGCCCTCAGGCAAGGTGCGCAGAGCCAGGGTGAGCTCAGGGAGTGAAGAGTGCGTGCTGAGCCTGGCTGTCCTCAGAGCTCCCCAGAAGGAAACTAAGGACTCCACAGTGCGGCCTTGCCCAAGAATGGTGCTTGGGACAGGCAGGTCCTGCGGCTCTCTGTGAGGAGCCTCCACTCAGGCCCACTGCCAAGAGTGGATGGCTCAGTCGTTTGTCGTATATTCAGGGTACTGCAGCTACCACCACCGTTGAGTTCCAGAACATCCCATCACCCCAAAAGGAAGCCCTATTTCCCCAGCCTCAGGCACCCACAAATCACTGCCCGGCCCTCAGTGGGTGGGTCCTCCCCCATTAATCACTAATCAAGAAAATGCTCTACAGGCTTGCCTGCCTGCAGATAGATCTTTTTTTTTTTTTCTCCATGCAGTTAGAACTTATGGAGACATTTTCTTTATTGAGACTCCTTCCTCTCAAGTGACTCTAGCTTGTGTCAAGTTGATGTAAAATTAGCCAGCATGTGTGGCATTTTGTTTTTGAGTCTCTCACTGAAGCTCATCTTCAGGCCCCTTCATGCTGTGTGTGTCTGAGTCTGACTCTTGTTCAGGGCTGCCTAGTATTCCAGTGTATGGCTGGGCCACTCTTTACCATTGTGTATCTTGTCTGTGTTGGCTGCTGTATGGGACATGAAGTCACTCTTTGGACCTATTTGGGCTCAGGTTTGTGGTGACAGTGGCTTTGGCTGTGGTGGTGTGGATAAGAACGGCCCCCAATCGGTTCATATATTTGAATAGGTGGCACCAGGAGGTGTGGACTTGTGGAGGTTTGTCACTGGGGTGGGCTTTGAGGTCTCAGAAGCTCGTGTCAGACTCGTCTCTCTGCCTGTGGGTCAGGATGTAAAGCTCTCAGCTTGTCTGCGAGCCGCCTGCCACGCGCCCCGCTGTGATAAGGATGGACTAAACCTCAGAAACTGTGAGCCCAGAGTTAAATGTTTTCTTTATCAGAGTCACCGTGGTCATGGTGACTTTTCACAGAGATAGAACAGTGGCTGAGACAGGCCTTCGGAACTCCCTGCCACTCCCAGTGGCTGCCCACCTCCTCTGCAGCTGCCGTGAGAGTGGTCCTGGGCTTTGCAGAGACACGGGAGCAGCACTGTAGTTGTGATCTTGGCTGTGACAGCCCTGGATCACAGCTCAGTCAGAGCTCATGTCACACTCACACTTAAACCCTGTCCCGCCTCCTGCCTCAGCCTCCTGAGAGTCCCCAGACACCCGTCTGTGCCTGCTCACAGATGGTTGCAGCTGAGCAGCTGTAGGGCGTGGCCCGGTGTGACGCCATGGGTCATGGCCCTTGTTCCTGTGCTCTTCCTGTGTCTTTCATTTCCTCCTTTAACAGATGAGCGTGTGGTAGGGCCCAGGCCTTCATGGCCAGGGGCTTGCCCAGCAATTCCCTTCACTCTGGTGGCTTCCAGCCAGTCACACAGGAGGGGATGCATGGAACCTGTACTCCATCTGCATTTGGGGTGCTGAGGCAGGAGGATGGCAGGGCGGGTCCTTGCAGCAGAGAACTGTTACTCCTGTGAGGTAGCCAGGGGATCTGTTCATATGGCTTGTTGGAAGTAAAGACGTTGGCCTAGATGTCCCACATACCCTCGGTAAGCATGGCAGGTCCCTGAAGCTACCTGACAGCACTGCGTGTTGTTCTTGGGATTATGCCACCCCTCAGCTGGCCTTGGGAAGTGCTTGGGAGACAACTGGCCTGTCTCCTCCTGGTACTGCGCCACGCCCACTGCCCACTTGTCCCTGTCACCTGCATGCCTACCCTCCTCATTCCAGGAGTTAAGTAACAAAGTTCCGAGGCTACTTGTGCCAGCCTCTCCGTCCCACAGCCCATCCATCCATCCTGCAGCCCATCCATCCATCCATCCATCCACCCACCCACCCACCCACCCATCCATCCATCCATCCACACATCCACCCACCCATCCACCCATCCACCCACCCACCCACCCATCCCGCAGCCCTTCCACCCACCCACCCACCCACCCCCCACCCCCTCACTCACCCATCCATCCATCCATCCCACAGCCCATCCATCCATCCCACAGCCCATCCATCCATCCATCCATCCATCCACACATCCACCCACCCATCCATCCATCCACCCATCCACCCACCCACCCACCCATCCCGCAGCCCATCCACCCACCCACCCACCCACCCATCCCCCACCCCTCACTCACCCATCCATCCATCCATCCCACAGCCCATCCATCCATCCATCCATCCATCCATCCATCCCGTAGCCCACCCACCCATCCATCCACCCACCCACCCACCCATCCATCCATCCATCCACCCACCCCCCACCCCCTCACTCACTCATCCATCCCACAGCCCATCCATCCATCCATCCATCCATCCATCCACACACCCATCCATCCATCCATCCCACAGCCCATCCATCCATCCATCCCGCAGCCCATCCATCCATCCATCCATCCACCCACCCCCACCCCCTCACTCACTCATCCATCCCACAGCCCATCCATCCATCCATCCATCCATCCATCCACACACCCATCCATCCATCCATCCCACAGCCCATCCATCCATCCATCCATCCACCCACCCACCCACCCATCCATCCATCCATCCCGCAGCCCACCCACCCACCCATCCATCCATCCATCCATCCATCCATGCATCCACCCACCCATCCACCCACCCATCCATCCATCCATCCCGCAGCCCACCCACCCACCCATCCATCCATCCATCCATCCATCCATCCATCCATTCATCCATCCATTCTGCAGCCTCGTCATCCTGTGGCCTGGCTGACCAAGTGAGGCCCTCAGGGCTCTTCCTCTGTGCCCGCCCATTTTGTTCCCACTCCACCCACCCCACCCCTGCTGTTCACTCAGATAAAGGAGGGCAGGGTTGCATGCACAGGATTGGGAGGTCCTCCTGTCACAGCACGTGGGTCTTTGTGCTCAGGATTCACATACAAATGGCACAGAGCAAGAGCAGTGGGGCAGACAGTTCTAGGGGCAAGTTGTTCTCACCTTGCCTGAGCTCTGTGGGCCATCAGGAAACCCACTTTTCTGCTGTGTGGCTTCTGGAGCTGTAGGCTCCCCAACATGAGTCCAGTCACACTCTTGAACCAGACTCGGGGCATCGTGGCCACCCCTCCTGCTGGGGACTGAGCCTAGGTTATGGGGCTCTCATGATGATGGCCCAGGCCCATGGCCAGCTGGGACTTACCAGAGAGTTTGGGGTGTCACCCAGTCACCAGATCTCTAGCAGTAGGGGCCTTCGGGAGCAATAGGGGTTGGGAAGACGCCTCCCTGGGCACCTGGGGGACTCGTCTTCAGTGCCCCCAGGAAGAGCACTCTATTCTCCTGCACTGCTTTGTTTCTCCAGGACGCCCCAGGGCACCCCCAGCCTGTTCTGTCCTGGCCGCAGGTACTGGCTCAGCCCATTGCTGTGCACAAAGGGTCTCAGCCCAGGGACTGTTACTGCACTCTCAGGGCCCTTGGAACGCAGCCCGCAGCCCGTTATCTCCTTAGTCCTGCCCTGGGGTGCACTGTTGTAGGGCTTGAGTAAGGTGGGACAGGTGGGGTACTGGGATGCAGGTGACAGGCCACAGCCACAGTGTCCCATCGAGGCAGCACCCATTGCAGAGGCCCTCTGTGCGCAGACCCTGACTACAACCAGCCTGGCCTGAAAGCTCTGTCCTGATACCTGTCCCTGGATATGGGAGCAACCTCCTGTAGGGTGGGCTTCAGGGGATCCCTCTGCGCTCTGGTGTAACTGGCAGAGGCGAAGAGGACACCTTCTCTGTGGGCAGTAAGGAGCTGTTACCACTAGGTGGAGCCAGGTACTTGCTTTTTGGCGGCCAGCATGTTGTGGCTGAGAGTCTTCTCTCCCACCCCCTAACACACACACACACTCTGAGGTTCCAAGGCCACTAGCTACAGCTCCTGACTGTAGGCTACTAGGTTACTAGGTTACTAGCTCTGCCTAGGCTACTAGGCTATTAGCTCAGCTACTAGGTTATACTAGCTCTGCCTAGGCCAGATTCTCAAGACAAGTGGCACCTAGAATACTCCTTGGGCTTGGCCATCATATGCACGGACATATTTGTGTCCCAGGAGCTTTTGGACCCTCACCTCTGTGTATGCCCCCACTGGCTTCTGTGGCTAGTGGCTGTACACATGGTGACCGTGCTCTAGTCCACAGTGGTCTGTGTGGTGGTAAGCGAGGTATCTGGGGATGGCTTGCCCTGGGGCACTCCACTTGCCAGTTTGTCCAGCTTCTGGTGGCATTTGAACCCTTAGCTCCCTGCCTCCCTTGTGACTACACTGCCCGGGTAGCTCAGACTTCTGGGAGTGGCATCCTGTCACTTCTAGTCCTGGTCCACCTAGTCCTAGTCCTGGTTCTCCTCTGTGCCTCTTGGGACACCCTGAGGGGTGAGCTGTGGTTCCGGCCCTCCCGCTGACTCTCAGCAACAGGGACATCAAGATCTCAAGTCCTTGACAGGGAAATGCACCTGCTGCTAGGTCTGACAGTCTGAGTTCGATCCGTGGGTCTCACGTGGTGGGAGGAGACAGCTGACCCCTGCAGGTTGTCCTTTGATTTCCGCACAAGTGTCTGGACAACGCTGCCTGCTGCTGGGTCCTGGCCCTGCCTCCACGTTTATCCTGTGTGCTGTTGGCCATGGGCTCTGTGTCCTTCCGCCAGCCCTTATGTGAGTCTGTAGTGTCCCCTTGATGGAGTACAGCCCTCAGGTCCCATGCCCTCACAGTTGCCCCCACAAGACCCTGGTGACAACCTGGGCCTGCTGGCCACACAAAAGACAGACAGGAGAGAGGACTGCTGTGTGCTGCCCCAGTCCAGGTGGACGCCGTCCCAGGGAAGGAGAACTGAGAGAGAAGGAGGCGGTGGGTGCAGGCACACTCATCACATGAGGGTGGGAGTCAGACTCTGGGACCACCCAGTTGTCAGGGCTCAGCAGTAAGCCATGGAAGAGGAGCTGTGCTGTCCTTCGTCTGGAAGACACCCTGTGCTCCCCCACTGAATGGCTTGCTGGGCAGCCAAGGTGGATGGAGCCTAGGGCTGGACTCGGCTGGTGGTTGCTGTGCCCTTCCATGCCCCTCCCCTCTGCTGTCCAGAACTCACACCGAGGCTGCTGATTTCTGGCTGCGGGGTCCCTGGGATGTGATGTTCCTTTTGTACCATCTCCCCCAGCTCTCACCTCTACATGCGGGGAGGGGTGGCGGTGGAGCCTGGACTCAGCAATTGATGGGGGGCCTGGGGGTAGGTCAGATCTCCAGCAGGATAGCTCCCTGTCTGTGACTAGGGCCTGCTCCTGATGCCCTGGAGGACACAGCACTGTGGCTCTGAGGGCTGTGTCCAGTACAGCCCCAGGACTCCCAGGTGTCCAGTACAGCCCCAGGACTCCCAGGTGTCCAGTACAGCCCCAGGGTATCCAGCTCCATCTGGTACAGCCCCAGGACTCCCAGGTGTCCAGTACAGCCCCAGGGTATCCAGCTCCATCTGGTACAGCCCCAGGACTCCCAGGTGTCCAGTACAGCCCCAGGGTATCCAGCTCCATCTGGTACAGCCCCAGGGCACCCAGGTGATGCAACCTCATTCCTCTCCAGAGTCCATCAAGGTAATGGCCTTTTGGTGCCTGGCCACCAACCCCTGGCCTAGATCTTTTCTATGCCCACCAAGCCCTGCACTCCATTTCTGGGCATTTGCTGCCACCTGGTGGCCACCCTGGGAAATGTGTGGGAACTGTGGAGGAGGAGCTCCAGGAGGAGGGAAGGGACTGTGACAACCCTTCCTGCCCCTTGTAGGGCCAGGAAGGAGACCAGCTGTGCTGCCCCCTACAGCATAGATGCTTCCAGCATCTGTGATGTCCCTTCCGTGCAGACACAGACGGGTCGGCGCTGGCTGTGGCTTGAGCGTACTCAGATGGGTTGGGTTTGCCTTCCTGACCCAGGCCTCCCTGAGTAGCTTGATGGATTCCAGGCTTCGAACAGTTGGCCCTGTGCACAAGTGAAGCATTCTCACCAGGCCAGGACGACCCCATGTGCACAGGGCTCTTGGGTGGATGTGGTGAACACAAGGTCCACATGGGGAGAAGACCCCTGCTGAGAGTGGAGCTGGCTTCTAGGGGCCTCTGGTTACAAGGAGCAAAACTTGCTTTGGAGGGAGGGTACCTGTGCCGTTAGCCAGCTGGTGGGAGAGATGGAGTCTGGTTTGCTGACACGCCCCGGCTGCCCGCCGTTGCTCTCCTGCAGCAGGGGTGTTTTGTTACCTGTGCGGGGAAGTATCACAGTGGCGATGGCTGCACTGACCGATCTTGTCCTCTCATAGGTGAGGCTCTGCATTGCTGCAGCCATGGGGTCCGAGGACCACAGCGCTCAGAACCCCAGCTGCAAAATCATGACCTTCCGCCCCACCATGGATGAGTTCAGGGACTTCAACAGATACGTGGCCTACATCGAGTCACAAGGTGCTCACCGCGCGGGCCTAGCCAAGGTGGGTCATGCCACTCCCAGGCTGCTCTGTGGCTCGATGCCACGTACTGCCACTCCAACCCTTTTAAATTTACAGAGACTCCAGTTCTGTGAGGGTGCCTGGACCAAATCAGGGCACTCGTGTCACTAGCCCTGGGGAGAACCCAGCCTGGGCGGGACACAGCCTATTGTTACACTAGGCTAGGACGGAAGGACACCCAGTGCCTAGGGCAGTGGTGCCAGGAGACACCTTTAGTTCCTGATTAAGTGGCAGTGACCCGGAGCAAGAAGTGGGCTAGAGAGTTGTGTGAGTGTGAATGAGTGAGTGAGTGAGTGTGAGTGTGTGAGTGAGTGTGTGAATGACTGTGAGAGTGTGTGAACGAATGTGAATGTGAGTGAGTGTGTGAATGAATGAGTGTGTGAGCGAGTGTGAACGAGTGCGTGAGTGTGAGTGTGTGCGAGTGTGAGTGAGTGTGAGTGTGAGTGTGTGAATGAATGTGAGTGAGTGTGAATGAGTGTGAGTGTGGCTGAGTGTGTGAGTGTGAGTGAGTGAGAGTGAGTGTGAGTATGTGAGTGTGAATGAGTGTGAGACTGAGTGTGAGTGAGTGTGAGTGTGAGTGTGACTGAGTGTGTGACTGAGTGTGTGAGTGTGTGGGGGGGTGTAGGCATAAGGTCTTGCATAGTAGAGTATGCTTGACATCTACAGAAGGGTGATGGCGTCACTCTGCATTTTTTTTCTTTTTTAAAAATAGCCAGGTGATGGTGGTGCAGTCCCTTGATCCCAGCACTTGGGAGGCAGAGGCAGGCAGATCTCTGTGAGTTCTAGGCCAGCCTGGTCTACAGAGTGAGTTCCAGGACAGCCAGAGCAGACACAGAGAAACCCTGTCTCAAACAAACAAAACAAAATATGTCTGTGGGTATGCACACATGTGTGCAGACATGTGCGTGCGTGTGTGTATGCACGTGTATGTGCGTGTGTGTACGTGTGTACGTGTGTACGTGTGTGCGTGTGTGTGCGTGTACGTGCGTGCGTGTGTGTGTGTGTGTGTGGAGTCACAGTGGTGGGAGCCTCCTCATGAGGGTCTGGGCTCTGCATACTGAGTCAGCTCTCTGCCTCTCGCTTCATTTCTTTCTCCTCAGCACTGGAGTGCGCCCAGGTCTCCCATGTGCTGGTAAACCGCTCGCCTGGGCCTTTCATGTGCAATGACAGCCTCAGGGTTTTGTCTGAAACACCTAGGACAGTGTTGAACCTCCCAGATGCTAGGAGGGCAGGCCGGCACCCTCACACCTGGCCTTGCTCGTGTGACTCCTGGACAATTGCTGGTGGGTCCCCACATGGCCACCATGCTGTCGAGAATACCTGATTCTCTGGAGGTCATCCAGCACCTCGAGTGCCATAGACAGTCCAGAAACCCCACAGATGGCAGACGATGGGGCTGGATAGGTAGCTGTGCCACCAAGCCTGATGGCCTGAGCTTAGACCCCTGGGATCCACACAGTAGGAAGAGAGCTAACTTCTGTGAGTGGTTCCCTGTCCTCCACGTGCGTGCACACACATGTGCACACATGATAAATAAGCCAGTAAAATAAATAAATAAAAAGGCACAAAACCTTCCTCGGGGCAGTGGTGCCCTCTGACGCAGGCATGCTGTCTGCCAGCCACAGCCAGCTCTAGAGCTGTCAAGTACTGTCGCCTCCCGAAGTTCAGTTTCTCCGTTAGTGCCTTCCTCATGCAAGGCTCACAAGGGGGCAGGTGTCACAGAGAGCTGGATGGGCCTTACGCTGTGTCTACCCTTCCCTTTGTGGGGCATTCCTGTGCATTGCCATGTTGACCTGGTGGCTCTCATCCTTTTAATGGTCACGAAGCACTAATGACGCACTCACGCCGTTCCCTCTGATCGCGGCCCAGCAGGCAAGGACACTGGGTACTGCCTTCTTCCTGCCCTGCCTCTCTGAATCCGCACGTATGGACACAGGTGTGCTGGTGCATGCCCATGTTCATGTACACAGTGTGCACCCATGTGGTGTGTGCGTGTGCAGGCCAGAGCAGAGTGGTGACGTTTCCTCTCGCTCTTCTGACTCTGTGAGAAAACAGAGCCCCACTGAAGCTCACCGTTCTGGCTAGGCTGGCTGTCAGGGAGCTGTCCCTATCTGTCTCCACTCCCTGTGCTGAGGTCACAGGTGCATAGCCCTTTACACAGGTGCTGGCAATTTGAACTCAGGTTCTCATGTTTTCAGAGCAAATGTTCTTACCCAGTGAGTGTCTACCCAGCCATAGTGTGTCTGCATGCCTGCACATGTGTGTCTGCATGCCTGCACGTATGTCACCTGCAGACGTGCCTCCCAGCATCTTGCAGTCCTGGAGTTGGCCTTGGGTTTCCTGTGGAGGATGCTCAGCAAACTCCTGTCCCCAGCCTCAGCTGGAGCCCTCCATCCCAAGGCTCTCGAGCTTTTCTTCTGGCTCAGCTGCAGGTTCCTGCTCCTCTCTTTCCCCCATGGACACAGAGTGGGTGACCATGGCCTACTTTGGCCCCTCCTCCTGCCTGCAGCACCCTTTCCACCAGAGGTCACGGGGCACGGCCATCTTAGACTGTCCTCTTTTTTTCTGCTGAAGTTCCTGAAAATGAGACCATGGCATCTTTGATCTGTCGCCTCATGCCACAGCCTTGTGCAGGTGCAGCTTCCCCACTGGCATTTCTAGCATTGATTGAGTGAGTGCGTGCGTGTGTGTGTGTGCATGCACGTGTGCGCTCGCGCGCGTGTGTGCGCTCGCGCGCGTGTGTGTGCGTGCGTGCGTGTGTGTGCGTGTGTGTGCGTGTGTGTGCGTGTGTGCGTGCGTGTGTGTGCGTGTGTGCGTGCGTGTGTGTGTGCGTGCGTGTGTGTGTGTGCGTGTGTGTGCGCGTGCGTGTGTATGTGAGTGCGTGCGTGTATGTGTGTGTGTGCGGGCGTGTGTGTGTGCGGGCGTGTGTGTGTGCGGGCGTGTGTGCGTGTGTGTGCGTGTGTGTGCGTGTGTGTGTGTGCGCGTGTGTGTGTGCGTGTGTGTGCGTGCGTGTGTATGTGAGTGCGTGCGTGTATGTGTGTGTGCGGGCGTGGGCGTGTGTGCGTGTGTGTGTGCGTGCGTGTGTGCGTGCGTGTGTGTGCGTGCGTGCGTGTGTGTGTGTGTGCGCGTGCGCACACGTGTGCTCGTGCATGCGTATGTGGGGCTGCCTGCACTCCCTGGGTTGGAGTTTCTGGTCTGCCCCTCCTGCCTTCACCGTGTCCTGGGGGCCTTGCCACTCTGGTTCAGCTTTGCCTGCCTGAGTGGAGCATGACACTAATGTAGTTCAGGCTCCCTGTGACCTCGGGAACCTGCGCTACCCTATGGGAGAGAAACCTGGGGAGGCTGACTCTCTCTGAGCCCTGGGCACACGTGCAGCACGGCACACACACCTCCTGCCCTCTGAGAGCAGTTGACTCCAGGAAGCCTCCACGCACGCATGCACAAGTACAAATGTGTACTAGAGGCTCTGCTGCCTGCACAGCTGTCCCTACCACCTCCGCAGGATCTGTGGGCCCCAGGAGCTGAGAGGGTGCTTGCTACAGGCAGTGAGAGACAGACTCACCCAAGTGTGGGGCGTGCTCTGAGTGTGTGCCCTTCATCTCTTCTGGAGGAGGGCTCCGCCGTCCCCATCCCAGCGCTTGGGCTGGGTTGATGATGCCTTGTGCCTCAGTTTCCTCAGAGCAGCCCCCTGCCTGCCTAGCACTGCTGCCATGTCGGTCTGTGTGGAGTTACTCTCCTCTAGTGTCTGCTTCCTGTCTTCTTGGGACCCCAGACGCCGCTTCTGACCTTGTCTGAGCCACTCCCTTGCCGCGCGCGCTGCCATGTGCCCGCTGTCAGAGCAGGACTGAGGAGGCCCCGCTCTGCCTGCTGCCTCCTGCAGCCGGGGCACCTGTGCATGGCAGCACTGACCAGGAGCAGACTCACGCATAAGAGTGCTCAGAGTGGGGCCCCTGCTCACCCAGCCCTCAAGTGGGTTGGCTCAGTTTACACCACACACCATGCCTGGCTCAGCCCTGACTTGTGGCCCAGTTCCCCGTGTCTGCCACCTCAGCTAACATTACTGTCATGGTTTTGTGGTGCCTGTGTATGGCAGCACGGGTCTCGGGCACTTAGATCTTCGGGGACCTGGGATTCTCTAGCCTTGGGAGCTGTGTCACCCATACCCTTCTTGGCCCCACAGATCATCCCGCCCAAGGAGTGGAAGCCACGGCAGACGTATGACGACATTGATGATGTGGTCATCCCAGCACCCATACAGCAGGTGGTGACGGGCCAGTCGGGGCTTTTCACACAGTATAACATCCAGAAGAAGGCCATGACCGTGGGCGAGTACCGCCGCCTGGCCAACAGTGAGAAGTGCGTGGGATCGAGTGTCTCCCAGCTGCTCAGACTCCCTACTCCCTACTCCCTGGAGGGCCCCTCACCCCATCCCTGTCCCTGTCCCTGTCCCCAGGGCTGCCCTCATCCCAGTGTGTGGCCAGAAGTGGCCCTCCTGTGGTGGTCCCCATGCGTCCTGTATCTGTGCCGCTTGAGAGCTACAGTCATAGCGTATGCAGACACACGGCCCCTTGCCCTGTGCTCTGGCTGCCCCTGCTTCCTGAAGCTCTGTGTCCCTCCTTGCCATAGCAGCCTTGGCTCTGGGGTTGGGTCTGAGGTGGCTAGAGGGTGCTGTACTGCCCAGAGTCCAGTCTGAGCCGTTGTGCTGTTCGTTCCTAGGTACTGCACCCCACGCCATCAGGACTTTGACGACCTGGAACGAAAGTACTGGAAGAACCTGACCTTCGTCTCGCCCATCTACGGGGCGGACATCAGTGGCTCCCTGTATGATGAAGTAAGTGTCTGTGAGTGCCCGCCATGGGCCTGGCTCCTACCTCCTTCACCTGCAGCCTCACTGCCTGGGCCGTTGTCACGCTCAGGAACCCAGGGCAGAGCCACATTGGTGCTGGTACCTTACTACATGCTTCTGGAAGGTTCTGTTGGTTGACAATTTGTGTGTGTACCTACCTGTGTGCATACACAGGAGACCTGTGGATAATTTCAGATGTCTTCCTCAGATCCTGGCCCTGTCTACCTTGCTTTTGGGGGGGGGACAGGATCTCACTGTGTAGACCAAACTGACCTCAACCTCAAGGAAGTATGCCTACCTCTGTCCATGAGTGCTTGGGTTACCTAGTCTACCTTTTTTATTGTTGGTTTTTATTTTATTTTACTTTTTTTGGTTTTTCAAGACAGGGTTTCTCTGTAGAACAGCCTGTCTGTCCTAGAACTCACTCTATAGACCATGCTGGCCTCAAACTCACAGAGATTCACCTGCCTCTGCCTCCGGTATTGTTGGGTTATTAAGTCATTTTTTAATTCTGCGTGTGAGCGTTTTGCCTGCAGGTGTGTTTAGTCCCCTGGAACTGGAGTACAGCCGGTGTGATCCTCCATGTGGGTTCTAGGATCGAAGTCTCAGGCCTCTTCAGCACCGAGCTATCTCTCCAGCTCCTCACCCTGCCTTGTTTTCTGGGAAGGGGTCTCACTGAACCCAGAGCTCACCCACTAGGCTAGATTAACTGGCCAGCAAGCCAGGGGGCACTCCCCTGTGTCTGTCCAGAGCTGGGATTATGGGTGTGCACGTCCCATGCAGCTTTCTGTGTGGGTGCTCAGGCCAGTCTCCACTGAGCTGTCTCCTCAGTGTTGGTTGTTGTTGGGTTTTTGTTTTTTTGTGTTTTGAGTTGCGTGTGGTGTGCGTGTAGGTGTCTGTTCTTGTGTGTGTGCACGCAGGCCATGTGTGTCTGGCCTCTCTGTTGTAGATGTGACCTCAGGTCATCAACACCTTTATGCCAAGTCCTCTCAGTGGCTATGATTGTTCCTAAAGGCAGCCTGGTTTTGTACAGCCGCCATGCCATGCGCTACAGAGTTCAGTGGGCCCAGCGCACCCACAGTGATGTAGAGTCCTGGTCTACCATCCCAGAGGATGGACCTACTCATGAACAACCACCCCACCTCCTCAGACTGACACCCAAGAGTATGCTTTCTGTCTGGACATGTCCTGTTTTTAGTGTCCCACATTGTGGCCTCTCGTGTCTGATTCTTGATGTCCTTGGGGTCCCTGCACTCTGGGTGTGGGGGCCCACACAGCATACCCTGTCATCAGGTGATAGACATGTGGGCTGTGACCTGCCTGGGCTCCGGGAGGTGAGGCAGCTGTGGGTGCTGTCCAGGTCCCTGTGGTCAGGGCTACGTTTCTCTGAAGTCTGCATGCAGGGTGGACCTGCTGGGCTGGGCTGTTCTCCGGCTGCCCCGCACCCACCCCTGCTTCTTGGCACTGCGTGTGAGAGAGGTGCTGCCACACTGTGCGTCCTTTGTCTCCCAGGGGCTCCTGCTGTCTCCGTGCCTCTCTGGAGAAGTCTGTGCTTAGATCTTTTGCTGTATGAACGTGTTTCTAGATTCCCAGCACCACCTCAGGTGCCTCTCACTGCCCCCCCCCCCGGCCGCGGGGGTCTGGGTGCCGCAGCCACTGCACACTCACACACGTGAGTCCATGCAGTCCCCCTGCCTCAGCCTGTGATGCCGGGCACTGCTTGCCTCCATTCTTCCTTTTCCACAACGTCTCAGGACTGAAATCATGGCTTCTGTCCTGCAGCTATGTGGGTTTAGGGTTTGTCCACATCCTTTCTGCCTCCCTTCCTTCCTTCCTTCCTTCCTTCCTTCCTTCCTTCCTTCCTTCCTTCCTTCCTTCCTTCCTCCTTTCCTCCCTTCCTCCCTTCCTCCCTTCCTCCCTTCCTCCCTTCCTCCCTTCCTCCCTTCCTCCCTTCCTTCCTTCCTTCCTTCCTTCCTTCCTTCCTTCCTTCCTTCCTTCCGTTGTTCCTTCATTACTGGCAGGATTGAATCCAATATTTTCCAGGGTAATTTATTTTAAAAGAAGGCTTATTTTTTTCAAGTGTATGTGCTTACCTGTGGATGCGGCTCTCTGCTGATGACTGGGGTGGAAGCTGTCTCACAAATCCTTCTGTTAATGGCCTTTTCCTCCCTTCCTGAGCCAGGGTCTCATGGAGCCCAGGTTGGATTTGAACTTGCTGAGGATGAGCTTGAACTCCTGACTCTCCTGTCCCACCTCCTGAGTGCCAGCATCCTGCGCCCGTTCACGTTGTCCAGCGTCACCCTGGGTGGGCGAAGCCTGTGCTCTGATGGGGTGTGGGGTCTCTTGGCGGGGCGGTGTGCTTTACCCATTGCACGTCCAGAGCAGGAAGGTCTCTGGCTGGTGGCCCCGTGCTCTCTTCTCTTGGTTTTGGGCTCCCTGTTCTCTAGTAGGTGTCTGGTGCTGTCACCTCGTTGTTTTGTCATCTGTGCTCCTGGGGTAGCGCTATGTGAAGTCAGAGTCTGGACTCCACCCAGCAAGGTGTTGCAGGCATGGCCCCTGCACCCCCACCTCCTGTCAGCTAGTGTGCCACCTTTATGGAGGACTCTGGCCATACACAGGCTTCATCCACCAAGAACAGTCCCTGGGCCACATCTGCCACAGGCCCCTGGAAGTTTGTGGCTTTGGCCTGTGTGCCTGACTTACGTAGAGTAGTCCAGAATCTGTTATAGATGGGGAAACTGAGGCCCAAACCAGAGGACTTTTGGCCCAGCCATGGGATGATTGTCCCCACGAGGTTGTACCTGAGTCCCTTTCTTGTAATCCGTGACATGTTCCATGCGGGTGACCATGCTGGGTGACAGGCAGGGCAGCAAGACCATTGTATGCTCCGTAACCTGTTGCCATGACCTCAGCAGCCTATGCTCTGCAGACTCGGGCCTTCAGCCTCCTGGCAGGAGAATGGTCACCCGGTGGCTCTCGGATGCAGAGAGGGCTCAGGTGCAGGCATGGGAGGCTCCTGCTCTGCTTTTCTCCAGCAACATTTGAGAGCATGGGTCGAGGTCCGGGCTTCATCCATATCTGCCTGCACCCTGTGAAGCTGTCTGGTCTTGTCTGATGGAAGGTTCTGGAAGGGCTGTCATTTGGGCATGGGTTCACATGCTTGTGAAGGCATCACTCCACTTGGAGACTGCCTTTCTCTGTGTTACTTGAGGTGTGGAGGTCGCCGCCAAGCTGATGTCCTCCCTTGGCACATGCAGGCTTATAGACTGTAACATGCTACTCCAGGAAGGCTGGGGTGCTAGGGAGAGTTCAAGGCCTGAGCAGCTCTAGTCTGCCCATGACCCTAGTCCCCTTGACCTCTTGGGATGAGCAGCTGGAGCCTGGGGACCTGATGCCAGCGCACCTCCTACATAGGTGGGCGCAGATGTCCTGGGAGGACTCTGCTGACCACGCCTTCGCTGTCCACAGGACGTGGCCCAGTGGAACATCGGCAACCTGAGGACCATCCTGGACATGGTGGAGCGCGAGTGCGGCACCATCATCGAGGGCGTGAACACGCCCTACCTGTACTTCGGCATGTGGAAGACCACCTTCGCCTGGCACACGGAGGACATGGACCTGTACAGCATCAACTACCTGCACTTTGGCGAGCCCAAGTCCTGGTGAGTGCCAGGGTGTGCTGGCAGGTTACTGTGGGCGCCTCCTGTTCATACTCCAGGCCTCGGGGAGGACCACGGCCTTGATGGTAACAAGTGCCCACCTGCCTTCTAGGTAGCGAACTGAGGGCTGTGGCCTTGCCTGAGTCCCTGCCAGGTGGATGGCTGTGTCACCTTCTGGTCACATCGCAGGGCTAGTTTCCGCTATGTGAGGTGCCAGCATGCCAGCAGTATTCTCTCCGTCTCTGCCGAATGCCAGGCACAGCCTGTCCCAGGCCAGGCTCCTATGGCCCCTTGGGCTCAGCCTCCTTGTCGCACAGTGTGGACAGGAAGGAGGCCCTCCCCCACACCTGGTGGTGCTGAATGGGGAGGGCAACGCTGAGAGCTGGGGCTGTCCGTGGGTCCCCACTGAGGGCTGGGGCTGTCCGTGAGTCCCCACTGAGGGCTGGGGCTGTCCGTGGGTCCCCACTGAGGGCTGGGGCTGTCCGTGAGTCCCCACTGAGGGCTGGGGCTGTCCGTGGGTCCCCACTGAGGGCTGGGGCTGTCCGTGGGTCCCCACTGAGGGCTGGGGCTGTCCGTGGGTCCCCACTGAGGGCTGGGGCTGTCCGTGGGTCCCCACTGAGGGCTGGGGCTGTCCGTGGGTCCCCACTGAGGGCTGGGGCTGTCCGTGGGTCCCCACTGAGGGCTGGGGCTGTCCGTGGGTCCCCACTGAGGGCTGGTCCCAGGAGCTGGCTGTCCTGCAGCCATTTCTGTCAGTGCAGTGAGCTGCTTAGGCAGAAGGCCTTTATTTCGGGCTCACGGTGCAGCCCACAGTCAGCCCCTCAGGGAATTGGAGCCACACCCATGTGGATGGAGCATGCTCAGCTGCTTCCTCGGCCCCCACATGGTTCAGGGTCACGGCCACCATGTTCAGCTCCATTTTCCCCATTCATGAACACTCAGGTCCCTTGGACTTGGGCCCCTCAGGCCATTCTGACTCAGACATCCTTGCTGAGATTCTCTTTGTGGTGGTCTTAACATCTGTTAAGCTAACCATCACCTGGCCTCTACTTGGTTGTGGAGGCACCTTCGCCCACCAACAGCTGAAAATTCAGAATGCAGGGAGCCCCATTGTTCCCTTCAAGTGCTCTATGTTTGGGGCACTTGTGTGACTCCTGTGGTCTCTCTAGAGCGTAAGGTGACTGGCTCCAGCCTTCCTAGTCACACCTGTGGCCACACCTCCCTGCTGCCCCAAGTGTGACAGGAACACCTTGCCTGCAACAGGCCTCCCTGTATTGCTCAGCTGTGGACAGGGCTGTGTGCCCAGCCTGTGGAGGGTCACACCAACAGTGCCCTCTTGTGGGTGTTTCTGCCCTCAGACCCCAGGCACACAGTCCTCCCCACTCCAGTGGAGTCCATATTTGGCCCTGGGCGGCTCCCCTGCCCTGGAGGACACAGCTGTGTTGGTGTGTGTGGACCCTTAGCCTACAGCCTGGCTAGCTTCCTGACTGATGGCCGAGCTGGGCTGAACTCGGGCTGGATGGGAAAGTGAACCCCAAATACTGTCCCTTTTCTGGCATTCTCAAGCCCCGTGGGTCCCAGCACTGCCCCTCACAGTTACAGAAGTGAGAAATGCCTGAAGTGTTGTGTCTGCTTCCTCCCCGGGGCCTTAGAGCTCTGCACTCTGCTGTCTGAAAGTGGGACCCTTTCTCCCTCTTCTGAGCTGGCCGTGAGGAGTCTCTCAGTCTCTGACTATCCTGCTGCCCTCTGAGGGCTCTGTGACACTGGTTATCCAGGACAGTCCCTGTGCACTGGGAGGTGGCTTCCCGGGCCCTGCCAGCTGTGGCTCTCAGCTGCAACAAGACCCTCTGACAAAGGAAGGGCTCGCCTTGGCTCCACCGTCACGCGGGAAGGTGCTGAGGCAGTTGGTCGCCTGACAGGAAGGGGACGGGGTGGGTGCTGGGGAGCTCCTTCTTGTACGTGGTCAGGGAGCCCAGCCCAGGGGATGGGCAAGTCTTGTCTCCTGGAGGTCTGTCCCCCACGCTTCTGGACCCTGTCCACTGGTCACTGTGGGCTCCTGCTGGCGTGTCTGAGCTGTGCACACCACCCTTTCCACAAGGTCCCTGCCTGTGGAAGCCTGGTGTGACAGTGGTAGGCTGGATGCTATCTCATGAGCAGCCTAGACTGTCGTTAGCCGCCAGTGTGTGCCCCGCCTCTATGTACATCTGTCCAGCCGGGTGACTCCTCCCGAGATGCTCTGCTGCCACCTGTGTGGAGGGCAGCTGGGCTGCTACCTGGACCCCTGGAATCCCCTGAGAAATGATGAGCAGTGACAAGGGCCAGTGGCCTGCTCCTCGTGGCTGCGTTGTCCTACAGGGCTAGTGACACCTCTGGATGCAGACAGCCCACAGCTGTTCCTGCTGCAAATCCCCACATTTGCACAGCAGTGGCCTGCGTAAGCAGGAGTGTGGGTATGCTTGCGTGTGAGAGTGGAACCAGGACCAGCTGACTGTGGAGGCCAGGGCCCGCGTCCTTCTCCTGGTGGCCACTAGGTGGCACTCCCGCCCTTCTGACGGGCAGCCATTCCCTGGAGTCCCACCCTAGCTACTCTTAGATGCCATAACCAGGCTCCCTGGCTGCCTGCTGTGTTCAGGGTGGGGAAATAACCCCACTTTCTCCCCCACAAAATAAGAGTAAAGAGCAAGAGCTGCAGGCCAGCCAGGGCTGCATGTTGAGGCTACAGCTCAACTAAGCAGAAAGAGAGAGGGGGGAAGAAAGTCGCCAAGCAGGCCCCTCCACCCCAGGCCGAAGCCGAGAATGAGAGCCGCCAGCAGCCATCATATGGCCAGTGAAGCTGGTGCCAGTCCTAGAGAGACGGGCTGGTGGGCAACTGTGGGCCTGTGTGGGGCTGGAATGTTCCAGTGCTGGGAAGCACCTTGGCAAAGACAGTGAGAGCCATGCTGTCTGAGGGTTGTGCCAGGCGGCGTGTGGTCACATGACCCTGCGACATGTAAGGCCTGGGGCTCCCTGAAGGATGATGGCAGGCACTCACCATCCTTGCATACTGGGTGCAGGTTCAGTAGCCCACTCCCTGCAACGTCTGTGACTGGGGAGGGCCATCAGGACTAGCGGTGAACTCAGTGGCCACTTGTTGCGGGAAGGAAAGCCCCAGCAGCCTTGGTCTTGGTGAGGGAGGCCTTGTAGCCCATAAACAGGGGTCTCCTATTATGAGCGTCTGCCCTGCCACCCCCTCCCGTGGCAGGGAGGGGCCTTAGCTAGCTCCCCATTGCTGCTAGGTAGACACCATGGCTCAAACCAGCTTGGGGAGGGGGGTTGATGTGGCTTATACATTCCAATGGCACTCTACCATGGTCTGGAGTTGGGGCAGGAGCTGGTACCGAGGCCATATTTACTGGCTTGCTCCCCATGGCTTGCTCAGCTGCTTTTTTATAGATCCAGCGAGCACCAGCCCAGGGGCAGGCCCCCCGCCCCCAAGTGAGCTGACCTTCCCACACTGACCATAAGTAGAACACTGCCGCACAGGCCAGTTTGATGGAAGTGTTTTGTCTATGAGGTTGGCTCTTCTAGGACACTCTAGATCTGTCATGTTGACAGTTGGCCATGACAGGATGGGACCCATGTGTCCTTGGGGACATGCATGTGTGTGTTTACTTGGCTTCTCCCCACCAGGCTCTGAGCCCCAGAGAGGTGGGACTTCAGCTAACCCTGTGTCTTCAGCTCCAGCAGGGATCTCAAAGGGGTCAGCAGCACTGGGTTCCGGATGCACCGTTGGGGTTAATATATTCTCCCTCTTGGATATTTGGGTGCTGCTCCCTGGATGAAGCTTAAAAGCACGCCTTTAATCCCAGCACTTGGGAGGCAGAGGCAGGCGATTTCTGTGAGTTCAAGGCCAGCCTGGTCTACAAAGTGAGTTCCAGGACAGCCAGAGCTGTTACACAGAGCAACCCTGTCTCAAAAACAAAACAAAACCCCAAAATTAGGGGGTCTCTCCTGCTGAGCCCCTTTGTCTCCCTCTGTTGTGTGACAAAAAAAGACTTTTCCTGGGGACACGCAACACAGAAATCCACTCATCCCAGTAGGGAGCCCACAGCAGACTAAAGTATGAACACCACAAAGTCCTGCTCGGTGAACCATGAGCTTTACTGGGGTCACTGACAGGCATGTGGGTGAAGGGAGACAGCTGTGTCACCAAGGCCCACCCCAGCACGGTGACAGCTCATGGAGCTGGGAATCTGGAGGCACTGCATAGCCTGCAGGCCACACAACAGGCTGGAGAGCTCCCTTCCAGGCGCCTCAGCTAACCTGAGCCTCTTCCAGGCAGCTTGATTTCCTTAGGGAATCCTTAGCTTTTATTGCTCACTCTGTCAGGGAGGAGCCTAATGAAATTGGTTTGTTTCAGGGACTTCCCGTAGCTGTTTTGTTCACCTTCCTATTTAAAGAGCCTCCCGCAGGATGAAATGCTCCAATCCCCGCCCCCCCCCAGCAGAGTGTCTAGTGTGGTCTGTGTCTGTGCTTTGCTTCAACACCATGCTGGGTTTGGGTGCATGAAGATATTTGAAGGTCCTAGCATTTTTTGAAGCTTCTCTGGGTCTGTTGCTGCTTTTGTTGATGTGATCACAGTCAAAGGACTTTGGAGGTGGGGTGTGTGCTGCCCTGTGCAGGAGCATGGAGAACCCCAGACTCCACTCGGTCTTCCAGAAATGGTTATAGCAGGCAGCATGGAGAACCCCAGACTCCACTCAGTCCCCCAGAAACGGTTACAGCAGGTGGAGGTGGCACTTGGAGGTGGGGTGGGCTCTCCGGTTTCCACAGAAGCTGTTTCTGTATTGGGGTCTCTGGAGGAGTAGTCACACATGTGCGGCGGCAGTGTGGCCTCTGAGGACAGAGCCTTCCATGGCGTGTGAGGAGCCTGTCCTTGCAGGGCTCCTGGTGACGCCTCCTTGCATAATCCATGGCCACTGGTTAGTTAGACCCTGAGTCCTAGCCTAAGGAAGGAAGGTTACTTT